CTGTACCTCACAGGAACACCAGTTGCTTCTCTGAACAGGTTTAATAACAACACGCTCAGCCGTGAGCCTTCCAGCTTGTGATACACTACACCTTCGCGTTCACTCCCTTGCTTGAGTATGATTGGCACGCAAGGGCAATGTTATTGGCGTGTGTGAGGCGTGTGCGTGCCCTTGTATGGTCAGCAGGCATGCGTGTGGCCCCCCCGCCATCACTAAGGGGGATCTGTCCCCCTTTGCTCACAATCGCATAAACGTCCGCGTCCCCTCTCGCAGGTCGCCGGCTATTCTCTTCCTCCGCTCTTTCCATTTGAAACAATGCGCACGGTGTCCTCAGAGAGCCAGGTGGTGACATGTGTCAAGTGGCAGCTGCTGGGGGCCCTCCCTAAAAATACAACCCCCCCCCCCCTCCTCCCCTGGACGCCCGGTGCTCCCTGGCCCCTTTTGTCCGCGGCGCCTGCACTTCTGAGCGAGCGCATTGATGGGATGTGTGGCGGGTGACGGCGGATTAGAGCCGGCCGTCTGACAGAGGGCTCTAGTTCCTAAATAAACACAAACGCTCACCTTTGAGGGGCCACCTAGCATGGAGTCGAGCCAAATATCCTCCACCCTCGGTCACTCACCATCTCAGACCCTCCAAACGCAGCCGGGGAGTCCTTGACCAATCTGCCCCGAGTCCCTATTTCTGACCGGGAGACGCCATCATCTTCATGCTAAATCAAGCTGCCCGGTCCGGCCAAAGTCGCGAAACATCAAAAGCAGCGTTAGGTGTATGATTTCACGTGTGTATCATGTGATATAATGGGAGTGGGAGGTTTGCAGTTGGAGGCTAAGTGACGAAAAAATCAAGTAGCGGGATGAGGTGAATAAATAAACGGGGAGGTCCCAGATAACAGGGTTAAAAGATAATATTAGAGTCTACTAATTATGGTTGGGTCACATTTGCATATCTGACAGACATGACTGAGAATTCAGTCAAAGGCACTTGATTTATCGTAGTTTTTTGTCTCCAAAGAGCAAGAACAGACGCTGAGGACGGCTACGACCTCATCAACACTATGATACAGTTAAAAGCTAAAATAAAAGCAAAACGAGGTTGGAGGAAAGGGAGAAGAACATGCCGTTGAAAACAAGGTGAGAAGCACTTTTGTGAGATACTCGATGATGTACATTCGGCCAGCCTTTGAAGAATTAAAGACGTTAGGAAATAGTCTCACCATCGTACTTTTGAATGATTTGCTTGTCCAGGCTTGATCAGAAGAGCTGAACGAGGAGCTGGAAAGGCTGAAGATGCAGCCTGCCCATGTGGCTGGTGTGCTGGTGGAGCCACATCTCCTCAGAGCGAGATCAACGAGAAGAAAAAGACGGCTTTTCTGAATCCCAGGCGAGAAATGAGCGGAGCAGAATGCCGACACTTCTGTGCAGCCAAACCATGCTAACAAGAAAGGCCTCAGACTCTCAGAGGCTCACCGATCAAGATCAGTTCACACCACGAGCTGCAAAGCAAGCCTACCAGACATGTACGCGCATTAGAATCTCCAAACCTGAACTGTAACCCAACAAAACTACTCACTAGCACATGGAGAAGCAGGAGCAGATGGCTCCCAGCTGAGGTGGAGGAGCCCAGGGCCAGGCTGGTGAAGAAAGCCTCGTCCTTAAAGCTGCTCCAGACTATCCAAGCGGCCGGCCTGCTGCACTCTCAGGTAAAAGGATGAATCCAAACCCACATTATTCTCACCAGAAACACATGCAGAGGGGCTCCACATTGACATGATAGTTAGGATGAGCACTGATCTCTAGTTATCCACATGGGGGGTGAGAGTGAACTTGTTTAAAAGGGACGTTTGTGCTACGTGCCTTTTGATGAGCATTTCTTTAATTCGGTGCCACACTTGACACAGATTGCCTTTGTTTGGGGGCGCTTCTCACCCTCTGGTTAAAGAACTAGCAAAGAAACTAGAGCCATAAAAAAGTATAAGTCTATATCAGGAAGTATCAAACATTTGAGAGGAGAAAGATCTCACTGTACAAGCCGAAGCCCAAACTGTAGAGTTACAGGGAGGCTGAAGAAGCAGTGAGCCACTTTATTTAGACTTTGTTTAGAACAGGAAGGTGGAGCTCCTTAGCTCACAATCTATTTCAAATAAACCTATAATCAAAAGGACTATTCAGTTCCTTGTGCATTAAACATTTTCTTGTTTACTTTTTCTTGTCTCGTCCAAGAAGTGCAGGAGGCTCCAGCCTGAGCCAGATGATGCGGTGCGGGGGGGGCTGATTAGGCCAAATCCCAGGCCAACGAGCTGACCACCAGGCAGCAAGGTCAGTAACCGGGCCGCAGCAGAAAGCAAGAATGGAACCGAGTGACCTTTGGCGGAATGTATTAAAATTAGCCAGCGGCCACATAGCGAGAACTAATTTTAGATGAGTTTGGATGTAATCCTCTGAAGATGAACTTGAATAGCCGTGTCATGTGATGTCTCGTGGCTCTGAGTAAGCCCGACTCTGTGTATGTTGTTGCTAATAAACATCCCGCTCTTTTGCATTTCAGCGTGCTGACTGATGTGAGGAGGAACGCCACAGCTGCAACAGCTGTCCGGACCCGATGACGCCTCCATTTAAAGACTGCATATGTTTGCTCTACATGTGTGTATAATGTGATAAAGATATCCAATCCAGTGATGAGAGTCTAAAGAATAATTTATTATAATTCTTATAAGGCAAACAGCTAATAAGTAAGGAAAATGTTCAATATCAGTGTTAAAAGAGGAGCATAAGGGTAAGAGTGGTTTACAGAAGTGGCTGTAGAATGGGAAAGAGGAAAATAACGTCTGTTTGATTGAAAGGGCGAAGCTAAAAAAAAAACATATTGGTATTTTTACTGAGATGCTAATCAGATTTTACACCATGTAAATGCTTTGAGATCTGATGCTGAACCAGGAGAAGAGATATGAAGTCACCTTTAGTCAACATGGCACCTCAGGCATAAAAAGGTTTCTCATACAGTCCTCACCAGGCCAAAGATGTCAAATATTTGGAATTATACAGAAAATGTCAGGTCTGTAAAAATCAAAGGGAACATACTGCAGCATATTCATGCCAAGGTTAAAAGAAAAGAAAAAAAAAGCCACCCATTTTCTCTGTTAGCTTCATACATACTTTGTGTGTGACAGAAGCCCTCAGAGATTCAGATTAGAAAGCTACAGACTTAAGAAACTGATCTTTAAATCAATCGAAAGAGCTAACAACATTCATGCCATTAAACCAAGCACCAGAGACTCACTGTGGAGGCCGCAAGCTAAGATTAGTAGAAACCAAACAAACCCCGTAGTTTTTTGTATTTTTTGTTTTTAAACCAGAGAAGATTGACCCTTTACATCAGACAAAGAAACCCAGAAAAGTACATGTCGGCATACGTTGTATGTTTTCACCACAAAGAACAACAGATGAACCAATTTAAAGTTAGTTCACACCAGTCAAGAGATTTAAAACGCACTAAATGAGAGCTGGTGAACAAGAAAAACATTTCAGCTTTAAAACAAATAAAAGGACATGTTTGCTTCCTAAAGGTGAGGCCAAATGTGGACGTTGGCATGAAGGCGTACTACAGGTTTTGGAGTTCTGTACATTAGTCATTAGAGGCTGTCTGATGGGTGGAAAAATATGAGGTAGCTGATTTATTCTAACTGAACGCTGTGAACTACGAATTTCCCATTTTTGCTCTCAACTGCAGCACACTTAGGGTGTGGACATCTTTTCCACAGCCATGCAAGGACTTTTGAACCCGGATAGTTTCAGTCAAAGGGAGCCATGGGGCGAAGCCGCTTTCATTCCCAGGTATGGTGGACTATCCAGCCCCAGAAAATTAAGCTGGAGCCCAACGGACAGAAAAATAAACCGTGTGGGGTGCAACATTGAGCTTTACCTTAATGCCAACACCTGCATAGTTTATTTTCTTTCTAAAGAAAAATGTCTCACAACATGAAATGAGTTACTGTTACAGAATAAAGAAGTTTTTTAATGAACAACTTAGTTTACATATATTAAACAATAAAAACCATTCTTATGTGCAATGTTTTATTCTACAGTTTAGCCAGAGCTAAAAGCCTTTGTTTATCAATCACAAAAACAAAACAAAAAAAACCTAAAAACAAAAGAAAAACAAACTGATGAGTCCCTGGGTGAAGCTTCTGAAGCCCCAACAGAACGGTTGGTTGTAGGCGAGAGGAACCCTATGATATATGCAACATGTCGGCTGGCCCTCTAGCTACCTATGTGCAGAGTAGGGCCAGAAAAGCACCAATAAACGAGAGCCACCTAATAAAATACTCCAAAACGTTTCAATGAAGATTTACCTTTGAGAGGACCCCGGAAAAAAATCAAATAAAAAAAGCTAAAGATGACCGATGTTTCGTCAGAGGGCAGGCAGTGGCGTGGTGTCAGGGCATGAAGGTAGTGCGAGAGTGAGGCTGCTGACCCCGGGCAGCCTGTGACACACCACCATCCTGCTGAGCTGGGTTCCATCTGTGGTCATTTCATACCCCCGTTCCATGTGGAAAGAACCTCTTTTTCTAACATATAATTTGTTCAATCATTCAGATTTTTTTCCATAGAATTTTGTATAGGTTATATAAAAAGGCTCTATTTGAATTTCACCTAAAGCATACAACCAATGCAGGTGTCATTTTCCAAGGTCCATTTAATGTCTCTTACACCATGAGGCCAATGCGGATTGGGCAGAAAGGTTTCCGTCCTTCTCCTCTCAAAGAAAATATGGTAACTTAGAAGATGACAACTGGGCTGGTTCCATATGGGCACGCATCTGTGACGGTAGCCCCCATGCAAAGGTGCAGACAGCAAACAGGCGAGTCAATACATCCAGAATGTAGTCACAGAGTCCCAGGAAGGCTCAGCTCGACAGAGTCGTCACCAACGTCAGGTGTCCACGCTCCGTTCGGCCGTTTGTCCCTTCCCACCCCCAGCACACCGGGCGCATGCACTGGAGGTCAATCCTCCAGCAGGTCTCTGTCCAGATCCATGAAGGGCTCATCAATGTAGCTCGCTATAGCGCACAGAGAAGTCCTGTCTGAGCCCAGAAGTACTGACACCGTCTCCTTCCAGTAGCTGAAGGGGATGCAGGAGCTCTGAGAAGAGACACAAGAAATCGTGTTACTATTGCTAAGGAAATTAGCCTCTCACTCTCAGTCTTTTGTGTGCCAAGCATGGAGATTCGGCTTTAGACCGTCACATCAATCTTTTTCTGCCATTTGGGGGCAGCAGGTTATATATACATATACACACACATTTCACACAACAAATAGCATTGCTGACCACCAAAACTAAAGTCAGCCGACTGACTTAAGCATCATTGTCAAAGCCAATAACTCTGATTCTTTTGTATTCTATCAGTAGGAGCATTAACAGACTATTTATGGATGCATGGATATGAAAATCAAACAAACAACAATGACTTAATTTTGCTATGAAAAAGGAGTAACAATGCAGCAAGTATTAGCTTAGAAAACAGGTTAGATCTTCCCTTTTGATTTCACTCAATTGAATCATTACTGTTGTGAACTTTTGTGGTTCGGCTCTGTCCTCTTAGCTTGACTGTGATGCAGCTTTCAAAGAAGCCAATGCTCTCAACTTCAAATACACTGGTCAAAAAATACAAAGGAAACATAATCCTGAAGCCTAATTGCGATGCATTTGGGACAGGCTGCCAGTCCATCACAGGACGAACAAACCATACACACACTCATTAAATACTAGGGTGATTTAGAGTCTGCATTAAACCTAACATGCCTGTTTTTGGATGGTGGGAGGAAGTCGAGTTCCCAGAGGGAACCAACACAGACACGGAGAGAGCATGCAGAAAGGCCCCCAGTCCCCCAGCTGCTGTCCGAGCCTATAATCATTACAATGCAACTCAATCTGTCCAATGAGAAAGGAACACCGATTGCGAATCAATTTCACCTGCTGGTGTACAAAGTGAAGCAGACAATGGGTGGAAAATGAGCAAATCAACAGCCATAAAAAGGAATGATGCCTTCCTTCTTTCTGGTTAATTTTTGATGACATTTTTCATGTTGCCAGTGCCTCGCCATTAGAGGAAACATGAGGTGGCGTCTGCAGCTCATAGAGGTTTCTCGGGTAGGACAGTTGATCCAGGACGGCACTTCCAAGTGTGCACGGTGGCAAGAAGGTTTGCTGTGTGGAGGGCAGGGAGGACCAGGAGACAGGCTGGTATGCCAGAGGACATGGAGGAGGCAGCAGGGGTACAGCAACCAGACTGCTGTCTGCCCCTTCCAATGAGGAGCAACAGGAGCACAGCCAGAGCTCTAATGGGCAGGTTTCTGCTCAAACCGTTTGAGACTGACCCCATGAGGGTGGTATGAGGGTCCAGTGTCCACAAGTGGCGTCTGTGCTCACGGCCCAACACCGTGCAGCATGACTACTATTTGCTGGAGGACAGCTGGGTTGGCAGATTCACCACTGGTGTCCTGTGGTCTTCACAGATAAGAGCAGGTTCCCACTGAGCACATGTGACAGGTGTCTGAATCCGGAAACGACCTCCATGTATAAGCCAGAGATGCCCTGACTGCCTCTGTCCACCTGAACGACCCACAGTCCAATGACCATATGCGGCTGAACTGGGACCCGACTTCCTTCTGATGAATTACGTGGCTCATGTGGCTGGAGTGTGTTAGCAGTTGCTGAATGACCAAGGCATGCGCGCTATGGACCGGCCTGCCCATTTAGCAGACCCGAACCCAACGGAGCACCATTATCTCCTTGTCTTGTGCAACCCACAGCACACCACGTCTGGGATCCAACAGGAGAACATCTTCCATCATCAAGAGCATGTCCAGATGTTCACATACTACTGAGCCTTATTTAAAAAAAATGTAGGCTTTTCTATGCAAGTTGGGTCAGTCTGATCTGAGATTTGTTGTTTGTGATCTTCTTATTTGATCATTTTTAGCAGGTTGTCTTTTTCCCAGCATTTGATATGTTTGACCGAAAGCAGATGAACCTAAACGGATTGTCAAATTCATCCTACAGCTTCTGTGATGCAGCTGCTGGAAGATTTCAAACTAATATCCAACTGCTTGAAGAAAGGACGGCTACTTACATTCTCCAGGCAGGTGCTGTCTTTGTCCTTGTTGAGGTAGTGGCGCTGCCAGAAACGCAGTAGGTTGTGGAAGTTGTTGAGCAGGCAGCCTGGATACTTCTCGGTGTACTCCTTCTCCCGCAGGGCGTTGAGGTAGAAGGGCAATTTAGCCTTTCTTCTGGCCAGCATCAGGACTACCAAACTGGTGTTTAGACAGCTCACGTTCTCCTACAATAAAGAAACAAAAAGGGGGAGAAAAAGATGCAGCTTGAGCTAGTCTGCCTCATACCACAGCTTCTTAGTGAATGTGACAAAGAAATAGCGGAGACCTGTGTGAGCGTCTGCACGTTGATGATATTGATGAGTCGGAAGAGGAAGGACAGCCTGTTCTCAACTCTGGCCACGTAGGACAACAGGCAGCACTCAGAAAGGACCTCCACCACTGGTGAAATGGGAGCGGATTTGTTTGCAGGAATTAAAGAACAGATTTTCTCAGCAAAGATCAACTGGCTTTACACATATTAAACATAAATCAATAGATAGAATCTGATCTGAGTAATTTCTACTTTTGACTAATAGCATTTAAAAGTCAGTATTTCCATTTCTGCTTACCTTTGACATCCTCAGTCTGGCTCTCAAAGCGATCCAAAGAAAGGACGATGCAGCGCACCAGCATGTTGGAGTCCACCAGAGAACTGTTGATCTGCGTCAGGAAGGCCTGAAACTACAACAAGATGCAAACCTTAGTGTTAGCTGCTAACCAGACATGATAGGTTGAAATCTTAAAAAGGACACAAATGGCAGTTTGCAACTTGTTTTGATTCAGCAATAAGAGGATTCATAAAGGGATGTATAATGTCAAGAAAAGCTCATTTTGTCATAAGTAAATACAAAAATAAAACCTGGACAGTTTTTATCTACTATGATCGTTTACTCAGAATTATGGGTGTTCGAATGAATTGGCAGCAAAACAAACAATGAACTGGTGAACCAAATCCATTTAATTCCAATTTAACAAGCAGCAATGTTGCCTCCTGATGGATCAAACTAACATTTACTTATCAGCAGGCTTATGATAAATTACAAATGCTTTTTTTTTGGTAGATACAATTATACCTTCTCTGGAGTGTTGACATATTTGTTGAACCTTTTGAAGGCATCAATGTTGAACTTCATGAGCTCTCCAAGCAGATCAAAGTAGCTCTGAAGAACATCTCGTGATGTACAACCACTGTCGATGATGCAGAACAGGATATGCTGTTGAACGATGAGAGCAGAATGAGACATCTGTGTGAGCTGAATCATCCTGAAGAGTGGTGAGAAACTGGTTTTACCTCTAATAGACCCCTCTTTAGCAGGAACATTTGGTCCGCATATGATGTGGCTCCTCTGAGAAAGCTCTCCACTGCCCTCGCCTGCCAGAACCTTTAAATGCACATCATAGACATAATCAGCAAAGAACTACACAGATTTGACAGTCTTTGTGAAACCAGCAGAGGCCATGGTGCTCTACTCTGAAGATGTTTGGCTGACATGAACTCTCTTTATCCCCGACACCAACCTGAAAGAGGAGTCTGGGGGTTCTCTCTTCATGACAGTGAGGAGTCGTGTGAGCAGGCCCTTCTTCCCATCACACACTAAACTTCTGTCAGTGTTGACCAGAGCTTCCACCTCTGGGATGTTAGCCTTCATTGATATGGCACTAAGTTCATTCAGTTCCTGGCTATTAAGGAGGAGATACTTGTTCCTGGAAGACAGGCAAAGTATTAATAAACATCTACATATATGAAAAAGAAGTCAAATTGAAGTTAAAGTAAAAGGCGCTTACTCGTGGTGATCACTGAAACTCTGAAGGAGTCGCAAGAATTGAATTTTGAAGGATATTTCCTGCAGGAAGAAATAAAGAGTGTTATACATGATGTTAAAATTTTATCCAACCAAGTTTTTATTCATTTTCATTTCAATGATAAGCTGGTCTAAAAGTTCATACTGGACTACAGTCGCAGTTCTCGTTCTGGCCGTGCACTACGTGGTTTGAAGTGGTGTATTTCCTCCAGATCAGCTTGTCAAACAGGTTATTGAGCCCTGGGATGAGACGGAACTCAGCCAGCATCTTGTGAACCTGTACAGACACAAACAATGGTGAAAAACAAAGCTCAGCTTTGCTTAAAAACAACAATCCGCTTCTATTATAAAAGGAGTGAAAAATAAGCACCTGGTTCCTCTGCCTGCCCATAAGGAGGACACAGAGCACATAGAGGACTTCGACTTTGTACATGATCTCATGGACTATCTTCATGGACTGAGGCAGTCTGTGTCTGAGGGGGCTGGTGGCCAGAGAGCTTTCATCTGAAGACTCTGAAAGTGAGAACAATGCAAACTACCTCCGTTAAAAAAGGTCGAAGGATTCAAAATTCTTAAAGGAGGTATGGTCAACTGCGAGGGCCGTTTCACCTGTGCTGCTTTGTTCGGCCTCCTCAGTAGCCATCTGCATGAGGGCATCCAGGACCAAGGCATTGTCCAGCCATGTGTACCAGTCCTCCAACTCCTGCAGGAAGTTAGCTCCTGTGGCTTCAGACACCTTTCTGGTGGCCAGCTTACACAGCCGCTCAATGAAGCCAGGGATGTTCAGAAGGGTTACTGTAAAGAAAGCTCAGTTAGGGAAGCATTCTTTGAACGTGTCATTTACATCAGGTAGCCCATTTTAAGCTCTGCATTCATAAGACAACCTACCCTGGTTGACCTCAGCTCGTGAGGGACTAGCGTTTCGCTTCTGCTGTGCATTTTTGGCCAGCAGAGTGTGCTTGTCATCATTTCCTACGTCGGGTTCCGAGATGGTGACTGACAAAATCCGACAGAAATTGGCCAGCTGTTGCTGGTCGAAGCTTTGAACCAGGCCTGACAGGTTGGGGATTCCCTCTAACTGGATCATCTCCTTAAAAAATGGACACAGACTTTCTCTTAATATATTCAACATTGTCACGACACTCAGCTTTTCATACTGACTGGATCTGCTGTAGAAGGTTTATGAATCAATGTTCAAGTTCACCAACAAGCATGAAAAGATTGTGTGTGTTCATTTACAAGACTAGAAACAAAAAATGCAATTCATAGAACAAATGGGTCCGATATGACAATGGTTGTGTCCTTTTGCTTTCTTAATTTTTAGCAGTTTATTTGTTCTTTTCATCGTCTGGAATTACCAACTGTTAATAACCACCTTTATGCCAAGTAGTTCCATGATATAGGTCAGATAATCCCAAATCTCTGGGCACCAGATGGTGTTTTACAGTTAAATTGCTGTAGTGTTTAAGAACAGAGCATAACTGCACACTTAAAGGTTTGTGAGTGTGCGAGAACTGCAACAACTTAATGCAACGGCAAAATATAAACATAAACAGATATTCTACTCAACTCATTACACAGTCATTGTGTTATTCACTAACCAAACACATGAATGCCAACAGCTTTCAACAAAAGCAGACACTATCTAAAAACAGTTAGATCTCAGTACAAATATCCCTTTACTGAGCCTGCAAAACCACTAACTAAAAGGCAGCACAGCACAAAACAAATAAGGTAGGGTTATAAAAGAAAATCAGAATCTGAAATTTCAAACCTATCAACACAAAATAAAAAATATACAGGACAAAAACAGATCCAGTGAGTGGCTGCTGTCTTCTGACAACTATAGGCTGTAGAGTCCCGAGTTGGACTTTACTGTAGACAAGCCCATAAAAAAACATAGAAAAGCCAAAATTCAGAGTACAGTATCAAGGAACGATAGCACGACCAATTCCAAGTCCAGGATGTAATGTAACAAAATAGGGGAAAATGCCAATGGAGAGAATACTTTCACAACCCATTACAAGCCATACAAACAATAAAACAATTACCTGTATGAGGATGAATGTATGATTAACAATTCACATGGCAGACAAAGCATGAGAGATACGAGTATAGAAGAGGGTTTAAAAAGATACCATTCTGACCTTTTTTACTCCAAGAATATCTTCAATGAGGGTAGCAGTCTGCAGAAAGGTCTTCTTATTTGTCATCAGGGTGAAGAGAAACAGAACAAAATCATCCCTAGCTGCCAGGCTCTTTGTCACCCCTTCTGTCTACAAAGTGGAAGAAAAACTGATACCATCAATATTCATCCACTGTACCAGGGTAGAAATATGTAAAGAAAACAAGTTAATAAAGTATCAGTGGGTATGATACGGCTCTAACATGCATTAAAAGATATAAAAGATTAATACAGCTACTTACACATATACAGCAGTTGTACAGAACACTAAGACAGTCTTTGACCAGGTCATCATTCACTGTGGTAAGGAAAGCACATTATAACATCAATCTTAGTATTGTAATAAAATAAAAAATAAAAAGTTGAATTATGTTGGTGCTCACTTTTGGGTTTTTTCTTCTGCATAGATAGTGTAGGTCTCATCAGAATTTCCACGAGCAGCTTAATAAAAAAACAGAAACATGTACGTGTCAGCAGTCGTACGAGTTGAAGCAACAGAGGACAGTCTCATTTTCAGTTAACAATATGTCAAAGTCCAGTTACTATGATGCTTATAAAAATGTGACTATCACACTTACGTCGACACCTCCAAATAGGTCAAAGGTGTATGTGTTGGGGAAAGTGGATTCCTGAGCAGTCTTCCTGTCCTCAGTGACAAAGGACATGGCCTCCATGGAGAGCTGGGATGACAACACCTAACCGAGAGGGGTTCAAAGCATCATGTCATTCTTTTGTTGAGCAAGGTACTATACAAATATACAAATAATTTTTACTGGATTCACAATTTCAAATCACATCTAGTGGTCAGGTTCCAGAGAAAACCACTAAGCACCAGTGGCATAAAACAGGAATGGTGTTAGATGGACTACTGCTGCCTACCTTGAGAAAGCTGTGGGCATGTGAGAGGTCACTGTTGGGGTGGCTGCTCTCATAGAGCTTCTGAAGCAGTATAGGGATGCCATGCCACTTGGCACGTTTATCTCTTTCCTGGAGCAGGCCTTCTGGGAGCTACAATACAACACAATTAACCAAATTAGACGATTAAGAAAAAAAAAATCTTTCAAAATCCAAGTTTAAGAATTCAATTAATGAACACCCATACTCCAAACCAGAAAACCAGAGAAGGAAAACAACTATTATCAACCAGGTGTGATATTGCTTCTTCTTATGTTAGATAAGGAATATTAGTGGCTAGTGACAATCATTTACCAGAGAACAGAAGAGGCTCCTGTATGCATACAGATACTACAGTCACAAGATTTTTTTATTAGTCTTGCAGTTTAAGAGGTCGAGTCCTAACAGAAAGTGAAATAGATATGCAGTTGTTGAGTATTGAAAAATCATATTGTGGCCTCCAAACGTTCTGAATCTTTCAATTCTGTAAAGCAAAAACTGTAGAGCTCTTGTAGAGCCATTGGATGATCTCTTCAGGATGTTTTATGTTATAAACAGTTAACAGAACACATCTCAAAATTCCCAGGCCTTTGTCAATGCCACACTGCAAAAATCGGGATATGTTTTTTCTACCTATAGAAGACACCAGACACTAAGGGGAAAATAAAACAAAAATAGATACCAATATAGCCAACGTACTTATGAAAATCAAAGACATTTGACAACCGCTGACGTTTCATGAAACCCAACTCAACAAATTTACTATTTTTAAGTAATATATTTCATAGAAAAAGTTATGAGTGAAAACTAAAATAGCCTAACTATCCAACCTAATAACCAATCCCCTACGGTGGCGTATCCATTTATGGAAACGATAGTTATTGTGGTTTGCATGTCGTTACGTAATCACCTGAGCCGTTCAGCTGGCTTAGCTAACTAGCCTAGGCTAGCCCGTTTGCTAACATTAGCAAATCTTGCAGATTCTTGGGGGCATTTCAGCTCCTCCAAAATCAACCAGGTAGTCACTTAGTAATACAGGCAATTCGTTGGCCACAAGAAACCACGTCAGAAGTCAAGAGCTTCACTAGAAAGCGGTCTAATATCTCACTTATCCAGGCCTTTAATGCTATGCTAACGATGAGCTAACAACAAAAGATCCACTAGCAGCGGAGCTTCTTTCGTGCACTCCCCTTTAGTCAATACGCTATCTTGCTTGACAGCGGTCATATATTGTCTCTGGTATTCATATAAAACATATTTGTGGCTCAAAAACAACACGGAAAACCCTGTCCAGTTCGTAAAGACGAAGCGGAAACTGGCTTGCACATCTCCAGTTGAGTCTCCCGGACAACGTCCTCAATTTCAGGCTAGATCATGAGCGCAAGTCCATGGTCTCTGTCGACAAACTTTCGCCTATTTTAACTTTCGAAATATGCCTCCTCTTTTCTTACCTGCGTTCCTCGACTGAAACTCTTGCCAGTAATTCTACTAGTCGTAAACTTTGTGACTATATTGTTGCTGCAATTTCTACGTTTTGCACCAGTACAAGGGGACCCGGACCCCAGAGGCGTCGCCATTATTTCTTCTTCCTGAACTGAACTGTTCGGGCAGGAAGTGGAAGGCTTTGATGAATTACTGAAGGTAATTAGGCGGCATCTACCGGCAGAAAAGGAGTACCTGAAAGCTGGTTATTCCGTGATATTTTTCTGTTTCGTTTCACGATGTATTCATATATTTTTATCAGTGGCCTGAATTAAATTATTCAAAGATAGCACGTCATTCATTTCCGTTTGCTCACTTATTACAAAGCCAGCTCATTTTATTGGATTCCAACAACACGTTCATGATTGCAGTCATAAAAAATATTAATGACACATAATAATCTATCAAAATTGTGCTTTTCACACGAGGTTATAAATTATACACACATATAAAAAAAAATTGGAACATTTAATAACAGTGGCCCCAATAAAGCCCAGTCCAGGCTCTGTTGGATTTTGTTATGCATCACATAGCTAGCAAAGTTTATCGGGTTACAACGTCACATCCATGTCCACAGTCATATAACAATAATATTGAAAAAACAATATTCAATACAATTTTTGCTTTTGCAATAGTTTTATAAATTAAGCGAAGTATTCAATGTTTCAAGCCAAGGGAAAATGTCTTTGACGTCTAGTTTTTTCACTTAGCCTCTCATTTAGGAAGCTCCATACATTCAGTTAACAGAGACACATCTCCTGGCAAATGTAGTGTCTCAGCTTCCCTGTTATTCCGGGACAGTCCACAAAGACAAGAGCAGTCAGGCTGTGGGGGCTGGCTCATGTTGCGCCCGACACGGGGCAGGTTTAGCTCTGCAGTCAGTTCCACTTCTTCCACGCCGGCGGCCGGCCTTATTCTCTCAGGTGTCCCAGCTGTGGTCGTTTCCCTGTGTCATTTGCAGGTAGGAGCTGATGGCCTCCCTCAGCCCCTCGCTGACCAGAGAGTTGTCAGACTCAGTTCTCTTCCTCTTGAGTATGACCGACCTGAGGGGGGAACAACCATGCATTTGAGCACAATATCCAAAACATGCATGCACTGTCAGCAAAAATTCTGAATGACACGAACAGAAGCGTAACTAAGAGAATAGATTCAACTTGGATTAGTTTCAGACATGGTTTGCTCCGGTTTAAGGTGCTACACGGGCTTCATTTATCCAGGAGCAGGCTTTCAAGGATGTATCCAGATGTTGATTTGACTTGCTCCAGATGCTGTCAGGCTCCACCTACCCTCCATCGTATGTTCTCGGCTTGCCCAAAGTTGATACAATTATGGTCTTTAATTGTTGACACATTTTCTTACATCTGTGACAGAGAGATAAGCCCTGCTCCCGAAATTGCTATATTTGGTATGGCCCCTGTAGAGAAGGTAACTGGTGCACAATCAGATGCCATCACGTTTCATTTATATTGGCCAGACACCTTATCTGGCGTAATTGGAAGTCAGAGATGCCTCCGACGCAAAGGCGCTGGGTTGAGGATGTAATGGCACACTTAAAACTCGACAAGATGAAGCACAGGATCAGGGTATCTGATCTGGGTCTGGCAGCTGTTTCTAAAACAGTAGGGCATAACTGATTCACAGGCTCTGTAACTCTATTGTAACCTGTCAATATCAATTTACTTTATCTATTCATCTATCTATTTATTTATTTTTGCTCTCAAATTTCTTATTTTTATATTTATATAGTTTTTCATTCATTTTTTTTCTCTGTTATTGTCATTTCATATTGTTTATGTTGGGGTTGCTGTTTGGTTGCTTGTTATTTTTTGTGTACAATTTAAAATCTAATAAACATATACTGTATAAATATAGAATGACATGAACAGAGGCTGCATGGTATTAAACAGCCCAGTTTGTTGCGGGCAACAGCCGGAACATTTTTCTACACTTGGGCCGCTCTTAGCACAACCTTTTTGTGCTTCCACACCACTCTGATGGGTTTAACCAGCCCCATAGCACCCCGGAACTTTGAGTGTAATGAGCACTTTCAGACTAGTGTGAACAAAAACTGAAAATAACCTGGTAACAAACGACACAGTGACACCTTGTGGCAGTCATCAATTCAATGTGAATCTCCCTCACCTGCTAATTTCCTTCCAGTTGACAGTAGGCCTCCTGACTGTAATGGGGACAGCCCTTGCCTCTCGGGGGTTGTCTAAACCCTGGATGAAGCAGGGTCCTGTCAGCCGGCAGCACAACCCGTCTCCACTCTCTGTTTTGGAGAGGCAGCATTTCAATGGCCGTCACTGAGAGTTTGGCAGGCCAAAGCAGGACAGCAGGGTGGCAGCCTCAGTACAAACCTGAATAGTGTTGGACGAGGTGATGGAGGGAGCGGAATGTCAGTCTTGGGGATATGTAGACCCAGCCGTTCCGGAGGTGAGTGATGCGGTAGTGCTTGACAGGGTTCCGGTCTGACAGGTCGGTTCTCCACAGAATGGATAGCGAGTGGCAGTCTAAAGACAGACGCAGCATTTTAAACGGGCGCATTCTGATTCCACCGAGACAGTTGGTGTATTGTATTGCTGCTCATTTATCCAACTATCCAACCTAATCCATGATTAAATGAACTCCGCTGAAAAATTAAATACTCATATTGGTTTCTTTTATTACTATATATAATAATATTTTGTGTCATGTATCTCAAGTTTTGTCACTTTGTCATAAAGAATGAGAAAATGAGATCTTCTGAGTTCAACAGTGAGTACGACTGAGAAACACTGTAAAAGAACATGAATAATAAATGTGTAGAGACTAAATTAGCAAATTTGAATGTTTTTTGTTGATACTACAGTTAAATTGTCAAAGTATGTAACTTTGGCATCAAACGTCATGGCAGCCTTAGCTTGTATACATACAAGTCGTGTAAAATATTCAAATATGGGCAACTTGACATATGATTAAAACAAAATGACAATTTTCTCCATGTAAATGTGTTCAGTTATATTTAATCAGAAGTTAGACTCATGCTAAAAGGTCTCTGATGAAATATAATGTTGCTTACCTCTGCTTGTCTCAGACTCCCGGATCAGGAAGGCTCCCATCCGGTTGTTGGGATGCAGGAGCAGCTCCTCGGCTTTGTACCTTTGGATGCCTGTGAACAGCCACCTGCAGACACAGAACACAAAAACTCTTCAGTTCACTGTTAGTTCTATTTCTGGAAAATCTGTCAAAACATCAGAGGAGGTTCCCCAACGGGGGAGGGTCGAAACTTTTGGAGGCAGAGGCTCCAAACGTTTGTCTTTATTGAGGTACAGATGACGAACACAAAGACTCCTCCTGCCTCGTAGGGAACCCCCCTCCTCTCATTAATAAACAACACTTTTTGTTCAGTTCTTTGCTCTCTCTTCTACGCTGTCTCTCACCTGTGTGCCACCTTGGCCGTATAGTTGGTGGGAATGTAGCTCTGACGACCTGTTGTGCTCGATCTCACCATCATGAAATCTCCGTCACTGTTACATTACAGAAAAGAAAGCAGGCGTAATTTATTTGTAGGGTTGAGAGCACAGGTAAAAGATAAATTTTGAAAGGTGTTCCGCTTACTCTGATACGACGGTTAATTTCTCCCCCATGTGCATGGTCAGTTCCGTGTCTTCAAATGTGGGGTAGTTGCAGAGCGCCACAGTGACACTTTCCTGGAGTTCTACAAAAGGAAAGAGTGGAGAAAATGCTTCGGTCTGCTTTTTCTTTAACTTTGCTTTGCACGTTGATTCTCTCGGGCCGTCCTTACCTGGTAACTCGGAATCAGGTGGGTTTTCAAGGACTGTCAGGTTGGAATGACATCTGGTGAAGCAGGTCCCCATTTCTTTTAACAACCTGAACTGTTGGTCCTGGATTTTCATAAAATAAAATAGTGAGAGAGGCCGAGGTCATTCTAATGGTCTATACTAAATTTATGTAATGGTCCTAAAGTTAACACTGGGGGACCAATGGTGTAAAGTACCGAAAAAGGATGCATAGCCATTGTAACCAGAGCGCAAAAGCAAGATGACACAGGAAGGTACCTAACCACAAGAGCCCAATATCCTGTGTAACATTTCCATGCAGTATGTCTATTAATGTAATAATCTGTACTTTTCATCAGACAAGAAGAATCAGACTATTTTTTTCTCACGGCACAATGCAGAACAAAAATAAAAAACTGACAGCACCAAGACAAAAAAACAACAACTCAGTCATGGATAATCCTTCAACAAATGAAACCAACAATTTCAGAAGTGATCGCAGAGCCGTTTGTCACACAAACTGACATCTTGGAGGGAAAAGTCAAATCCTTGATCAAAAAGGCTCGAATATCACAGAAAGCTTACCTCCTTCAATGCTTGTTTTGGAGTATTCCGCACAGATAGTTTAACAGATTCTTGAAGTAAATTCCAGATCTTATTTTCTAATACTGCTTCTCTGTCTTCAGTGTGCTCACAAGTGTGGCCTGTGATGAATGAGCCCAGCTCCCCGGTCAGGCCTGCAGACCAGCTCCGTCCTCCGCTTCCTTCCCCACCAAGCTCTGCTCTGTTTTTGCAGCTGTTTATCGCTGGGCTGACGGAGACTGAGAGGAGGTCTCTTACTTAGCCTCTATGTGTGTCACCCTGCTGCAGCTTCCTGTGACGCACACGGCTGTGACATCCTGACTTCAAAACACAGCGAGCTGATCCGTTTCAGGCAATTTGTTTGGCCGGTGGCGCATCCCTCCCTTACGGAACGAACGCCGTGTCCACAGATGCAGCATTTACATGCATATGCAGCGCTGTGGGTTTGTGTACTGATGTCATTTCCCAGTGACAACACTCTGAACATCTGATAGATTTAGGAGGGGGCCAGATTTTCCTCATCGGCACACTTGCACTAATCGGTTGTGTGATAATGAGAACAGTGTAGAGTTCAACATGTGCAGAATGATGTTCCAATACCAGCCTACTCTGTTCTTACTTTGACTTGTCACTAGCCACAAATTCATTTAAATGCTGACACTGCAGTCTGTGGAACAGACTCATCAACAGCAGCAGAGAATTATTGATTTTGAAATCAGTTTTGGCTTGAGAAGCAATGCAAAACCAGTGAGTATTCAAAGGTCTGCATGTGTTCATTGATAAAGAAAAGGCCGCCTTAACTCTTACTGCTCTTATCTATGTTCATTGAATGTTAATTTAGACACCATTTATATACAGTTGGAAGGACATTTTAAAAAATAGAATGAGATCAAGATGAAAAGGCCACGTCTTTCCAAGTATCGGCCTTCAATCCGATGCACCGGGCTTCATGATGGGCAAGAAGAGCAACAGCAGATGGAAACAACAAAACAAGATCAGATCAGAGCTGAATGGCCACCTCGGTCCGTTACAGTAGATGGAAAATTTGTTATCAGGAATGAAGTTATTCCATATTGCTGTGCTTCTAGAATTTTCTAGAATTTGCTTAACCGTGTAGCTCAGATTTCCTGACAGCCATGTGTTATGAAACTGTTTCCTATTAACATGGTTTCTATTTAATTTTAGCATTTGTGTGCTCACAAAGACGGGCGTCCGAAAAACACTGGCCAAATGGTGATTCCAGGCGTCGCATGTCAGTATCAGCATGATTTAGTGAAGGGTTGAAATCCTAAAGCACACGGAACATGAGTCTTCAGTGGGTGATGGTTAGTTTATTCCAGTTCTAATCTGTACATCTTAATTTGAAGTTCATCTCTTCATCTCATAACAGCTGACTTTAGCTTTTTTTTACCCTTCGTTTCAGCTAAATATAGACCGTCTCATCCGTGACAGCAACGGTTATCACTCAGTCAGCCGCATGTGGTTGGAAACGATCTCACCACAGTCACCTCAATTTTCCACCAAGAAGCGCGCTTCTCTGAGGTATGCATTCCACTCTTTGTTTAAAAGAAAATACTTTCTCATTGCTGTTTACATGCATTTAGTCTTTATGTAAAAAAAAAACAACAACAACAAACAAACACTGGGGACAGGCAGATGAATGAAAATACCACACATGCTCTCACCTTCCAGCTTTATTCAGTAGTAATATAAATGAGCTGAATCAGCAGACAGTGAGAGATGCCACTCGGCCTTTCAGTGGCAGGACTTTGTATGTTACACATCAGATCCGATATGATAAAGGACGTTAAAACATCTCTGAATAATCTATTCAACTCAGCACACACAACACAGTGCAGAAAGAAAATAGGGAGATGATGAATTATTTACACACACACATATATATATATATATACACATATATATATACATATATATGTGTGACAAAACTGAATATAAAATGTTGAAAGGCAGCTCTCTAAGTGGATTTCACTTGGCTTCACTAAGGGTGTGCTACAGTGCAGTGCTTCTTTGTTCTGTTAGTTGCCTCCCGTTACCTGGCATCCACACTGCAGTCCTCCTGCAGTATCTGGAGATTTAGTGATATCTCTTTCTACTTTGTGTTTCTGATTTGCACTGTAGAGTGTTTAAGAAACAGTAACAAAAGATACAATGACTCGACAATCTGGAGCCGACGTGTTAAAAGTAAAAAAAAAAGAAAAGAAAGTTATTTCAAACACATGGAAGATTTCAAGGGTGAAGAGAGGTTAGAAAATAAAATTAAAAAAAGGCAAAATGGAAAAAAAAATAAATACAAGGTTAGACAATTAAAATTGGTCAGTCGCATGATTTTTAACCGCTGAAATATACAACACATCTGGATGTAGTTATGGTTTCTGGTAGGAATGTGACTTTGACAGTATATTTCATATATGTTTTAATATGCATCTGTTAATATATTTATTAGATCCTCCTTTCTAATCACATAAGCCACCCCTCCCCTGACATTGAGGTGCTTAGGAGCAGGATGAGAGACAGAAGAAAGGGGAGAGGGCACATAGGTTACTAGGTGACAGTGCAGGGGGGGGGAGGGTGGAGTGGGGTTTAACATGAGACCTCCATGGTCTGGGGCCCGGCCTGGCTGTCCAGAACCCCGCCGGCGTTGGCCTCCAGCAGGCTGTTTAGGTTGTTGCGGCTGCGGGTGCTGTCCATGGAGGTGATGCTGGAGGAGGAGGTGGTGCGAGAGCGGGCCAGGCGGGTCATTCCTGCTGACGGCACTGAAAAACCAGGGAAAAAGGGCCGTTAACATTCCCCTCACACAGCAGCCGGGCTCAGCGCGGTGCAGGGAGAAAAAACACGCTCACGACTGAAAAGCAACCAAATAGAAAAAAAAAACAACAAAAAAGGTAGTGCTTACCATGCAAACATTTCTCAAATATGAAGACTAATCAAGTTAAAGAAACGGGTGACTAAAGAACTGCTGAACGTGTCCACTTAGGAAAACAACCAAAGCAAAACAGCAGACTACAGCATTTGCAACACCCAGCGGGTCATGCAGCAAAAAAAGCAACACCGACGTATCGGGCATGCTAACAGAAGCTACTGACCCCCTACAGAGAGATGAATGTATGCTAAAAGGTTCTCTCTGGAGAACTCTCTGCATACATTGACATTCATCCTCTGTAGAGTGTTCAGAGGCCATTTTGGTTCAAAGCTCCTGGATTGGCCGCTGCTCAACAATCTGGTACCTGATTCGTTGCTCAGGTGACTGAGGAGAACGTAGGGGACTGTAGGCAGTGTTTGAAGAGGAGGAAACAGGACAGAAGCAGACGTGATGAAAAGGAATATCTTGCTCTGCTTTGATCCAAACTTGTTGCATTTGGAGCTAAAATGGAGGCTTTTCCTCGCTTTGCAGTCACAAAGGACAAACAGCTGACAGTAAGAAACTACCATGTGTGCAAAGTATGATGTTTGTATATGTCCAAAGTTAGGGTTTTTTTTGCCTGCACTCTAGGCTAGTTCCCTCTTTTGCATTTCACACGGTCGTAACCTGTTACTGAGGGTAAAGCTGCTTTCAGAAACATGCCGAGGTGTTAAGTTTTATTTTCCACACTTTCTCTGCATGAAAACACTCCGTTTAATCTGCTCTAATCCTGTAGTGGCATTTACTCAGTGGGGCACCCGCTGGCCTTTAAAAATGCAGCACAGAGCCGCTCCACCCGAGGGTGCCTCCCACAGTGAGGCGTTGGAGAACACAGAGACACGCACACACACACACACACACACACACAAAAAGAGGATTTAAATACATCCACACATAGAAAGAAGGAGTCTGTGTCTAATGCCAGCAAACCCACAATCGTGACGAATTCCAGCAGGGTCATACGGTTGTTTGTTTGCTCTCCTCTCAGAGGAGCGACTGAAAAAGTTGGGGGCCTGTTTAACTCTGAGTCTCTCTTGAAACAGAGCGCATCATTAAACAGTTCTGGATAGGAAAGAGAGGCACACCAAAAGATTAAAAAAAAAATAATAATAATAATAAAAAAGAAAACCACTCTGAACTGAACTGGAAGCAAATTTCAGTTCAGTAGAACGAGTGGCCCTGTCATTTCAGGGCATGCTAGAAGCACTTACTCCTCACCTACTGAGGGTTGTGAGTGCCACACACTGCAAAGAGCAGAGAGGAAACGGCGTTAGTGGTGATTGAGTCCCACAGGCTTACTCTCTGACCAGGCTGACTGCTTCTCATGGGCTGCTGGCAACATTCCACAGCCCATCAGGAGGGGTGTGTGGCCGCAGAGTGCAGCGAAAACAATCTCCGCTCAAGTATCTTTAGTCAGCGGGCCTCGCGTCAACAGGAAACTCAGAGAAAAACATAGACAAACCTAACCACAAAAAACGTCATCCTGAAGAGGCTTCAGCCTCTGAACCAGTTTTTTCACCTGTTTTTACACCTCAGTCACAAAAAAAAAAACAGAAGAGAAGAGAAAAACATGGGGTGTACTTACTGTAGCCCATGCCCTGAACAAAGTACTTGAATGCCTCAGCAAGCTTCCCTGGCTGTGAGGAGATACACATGAAAGAAATGGTGGTGGGCGGGGGGTAAAGAAAAAATTGACAATAGAAAAATTCTCAAGAATTCTCAAGGACATAACCTCACCTGCACAACTTGTGGCAAGCCTCCACAATCCGCCATCTAAAAGGATTTAAAAAGGGCCAATTAAATAGGGTTCCAGTAAAAAAATTAAACAAATAAAAAATCTAATGAAGAAAATTCACCTTTAGCAAAGTAGTCTTGGTGGGATTTAACCTGGAATTGCATTCCACCTGAAACGTCAAAGAGAGGTAAATGGTGAGGACAAAAGACAGTGGAACAAACAACAGCTGCTGCTGCTGGGAGTCCCAGGTCTTTACGGCGTACTTTGGAGCAGAAAACTCACCACAGCCTCCACAGCTGGTGACGTGTCTCCCACCACCAGCAGAGCGGGGCACCTGGAGCAGAGGAGCACACCACCTCAGCCTGTACTCTTCAGCACGCGTGTGTGTGTGTGTGTGTTGTTTTCTGTCTCAGCACCTACGTTAGTGTGTTGACCGTGTCCTCGTTCAGACCTACGATGGGCCTCTCGATCTCCAGGTCTCGACGGCTGGTGAAGGAATTAAAAGGGTCGGTTAGCTCAGCGGAAACAATGCAACCTAAATCAAATGTAAAGCAACTCCTTGGATAGTCTAATTGTTATGTGTAATGTAGCTGTCGTTTTACATCCAGCTTATTTTGAAGCATTCAAACATGCCAGTGTTGTGGGAGTGAAAAGTCATGGGGGGGATAACTCTAACTAAGTGCATGTTGTAAATGGACCCGTCTCTGCATCGTACTATTGGTAGGAGCCACAGAACAGGGCCAGGTTGTCCTGGTTGATGTCTTGGGCGATGTGGAGGCGGTAGGTCTGGATCAACTCCTGATTGTCTGTCAGCTCATCCTGGACAGAAACAAAGTCTTTAGACCTCACAAACGACAGAATGCATACAGAGTAAGTGACATTTTTAGATTTGCATGCCTGATCCAGATCAGCAGGCGGATCTGTTCAGCGTGTCGCTACTATGTCTGAGAACCAGCCACGGCAGACAGAAATAATTAGCAAAAGTATCAAGGGAAATAAAACATTTAAAAAAGGAGGGCCCCTTGAGGTTGATGCACTGTCTGAGAGATGAAGATGGCCCAGAAAAAGAACTGAGTACTCACGGTGCTGAAGTGGTGAGCCATGACGATGTCCACCAAGTTACTGGTCCATCCAGACAGCTGCACGGGGGGGGAGGAGGGGGAGACGGGGTCAGAGGGCAGAAAAGTGAGACTGTTGTTGTGATGGCGGTCGATAACTCACTCCCAGCACAACAATGTGCACAAACTCTAGTGAAATATCAAAAGTAAGCTACAGGAGTGCTTCTGTGAGGCCCATTACCTACCTAAGAATGAACCTGTGCTGCTCTAATGAGGATTTTCTGCTGGAGTACTTTTCATTAAGTCCAACTTCTACTCAGATTACAAAAAGGCACGTAGAATCAAATTAACAGAGGATTAGAACCCTTTCCTGTCTTTGTAAAGCTATTAAGTCAAAATGAAGCCAGGTCATGGCAGAGAAGGAATGGCGTTTGCAAACACTGGGCGACAATATTCCACTTGGATGATTCTAAACTCAAAATTCTCAAACTCTTCTGCTCATGTCCTGTAACTCAACTTTTCTGCAGGAATGATGTGTGCTCACAGTTTGACACCAGAGCACTAGTTAGGAGTTCCTCAGCAGGCAGTCTCCTAAAAGCCCACTTTTATACTTTGTGGCCCTAAATAGGGATTTGATTGGCCGTTACTTGTCTGGAAACAATTCAGAAAAGTACAGTGAAGAACTAAGCCTGTAGCGAGAATACACCAACAATTTCTACGGATGTTTTCTTTTTTTTTTCCCCCACCGCGCAACATTGAGCAAAATATTTAAAAAGCAGATCATCTTTTATGAAGTATTCGACATGAACAGGGAGAGGAAGGTGCGAGTCACAGGCTTCTGCTGCAAAATCCTCTCGTGTTCATGGCGAGGACTTGGCGCTGACCTTAGAAGCTGCCCAGTCGATCCAGCCCTCGGCGCACGGGTCAACGTTGATCAGAACCAGTCCCTCCACGAGGGTGGGGTTGTTCAGCTGGAAAAGACAGGAACGAGCACCGTAAGTGTCCCGCTGCAGAACGCTGCGGTGAGTTATAGGGAGCCAGGTGTGTCATCGCGGTCTAAAACAGGCGTGGAGGTGGTTCTGGACACCTGAGCAGGAATGATGTTCATGCAGAGGAGCTCTGTGGCTGCCTGTCCATACTTTCTGTGCTCCCTTTACCAGCACAGACGTAGCGGTGAAGCGGCAAAGGCTGAAAAATATCTGTTTGTTTAAATTAAGACACGAAAGACTGAGCCTGGATCTGTGGACTCTGAAATGAAGGAGTGTCTCTGGAATAGCCTGAAGGCAGGCAGCGGACGTCTGGGGAAATGGAACATCCATCTTGTCCAGTGTCTGGGGGGGGGGGGGGGGGATGCAGATGCAGCTTTCAAATGCATTGCGGCAAGAGCTGCTGTGGCTCTACCATGGGTAAACACATTTTATCCAAACCTGCTCATTTCAGAGTCACATTTCCCACATCAATTCTAAACAAGAGCAAGACTCTCCTCAGAGAGCCGCTGGCCCCATTTTTCATTTCTACTCTCGCCATATTACCCTTCTCTCTTCATTATTCATCTTTTAGAGCCGCTTCTCTCCTTTCTGTCACTTTTCTGCTGGATTGTGCTTATTTTAGTTCCGCCGAGTTTAGCTCGGAAACAAAGCAAAGGTGATGGGAAAGGAGGGAATTACCACGGTGATTCATCAGATGGCCGATGGCGGCATGGCAGCCGGCTATAAAGCAGCTCCATGCCCTGTGTAGGCTTTAATGTTTGGTGCAACCAGCTGCGAGGTCTAAAAAAAAATCCTAAAATATTGCAGGCAATACAGTGCCGGGAGGAGGGAGTGGGGGGGGGGGGCATGGTGAGAGAGCTGCTGGCGACTCACCGCAAAACGGGTGAGGATGTAGGCTCCTGCCCCCACGCCGATGCCGATCACGCTGTTGACCCTAGAGAGAAAGCAGCGGTTACTGTGGCACCAGAGGAAACTAGTCAAAGGATTTTCACCTCATCAATAATAGGCAGGGAGGAGGAAGGAGGGGGGGTCGACTCACTTCAGCTGAGTCATCACAGAGGGGAGCATTTCGGCCAGCTCGTCCATGGTTGGGTAGCGGTACCTGGAGTCGGACGGAGACAGGCGTGAGCTCATAAGGGCAGAGAGGGACTGTCCAGTTTATTAGATGTTGGACAAGCGTGTTCCCATTTCTCAACACAAGCGTGACCAGACGGACACCCACCCGGTGGGGAAGGGAGGAGCCCCCTCCTGCTGGCCGGGCGCGTCGACATGGACCACCGCAAAGTGCTGGGTGATCTCCTGCATGTCCTCATAGTTGAACAGCGTGTTGAAGCAAGACTTGTCTGAAAAGAAAATAAAAAAACGGGGAGCGAACACAGGACAACCAGAGTGAGCGCGAGTTCAAATGGGTGAAAACCAAACGTACAGAAGGGAAGGAAACAAAAGCGGCGTCTCCAAACTATTTTGGGCTGACTCACGGTTGAGGCCGATGTCGTGGTAGGTGAGGATGACGGGCCGGTTGCCCTTGGGAACGCCTCTCATGGTCACATGGAGAACACCGTGTGGAGTCTCAATGTCATGCTCCTGCAATTCAAGGAGAAGAAAACAGAGGTGAACAATAACCCGATTTATCTAAGAAGAAGAACAAATTAGATGGAAGCAGGTGGTTATTTTTAGTTGTGGGTAATAAATAATTCTGGGTTTGTGTTATTCATAAGAAGACGAATTCAGCCTGCTGAGCTTTTCTCTCACAACTGGGCAGAAAACATGGAAGAAAAGATCAAAATTGGACCTTTTAAAGAAAAAAAACAGCTCCTAAAGTTGTACCTTAGGAAAAAGAAACTAAAGAAAAAGTTGGTACTTGGTAAAGCTCATTAGTTTGTAACTGGTTACTGGGCAGGGCTGAAAATATTCCAGCGATAACCTTAACTAATCACCATTTAATGAAAGCTTCACCATAACACAGCCCACAGTTTGACATATCCGTCTATCCAAACAAAGAATATTATTCAACGTGTAGTTTTTGAGTGAACTGAAAAAAAGAAACTAAATAAAAGACGCCTAACTCTCAGAGACATTGCAAGCTTGTCATTCAGATCTGGCAAAACTCATATTTTGAGCTATTTTGACTCTCACTGTTCCTTTACACGTGTAAATGCGGCGCATTGCGACTACTGACGTACGCTTTTTAAAAAAGGAGCTTATTCTCCTTCCTGTCTTTTTTTTTTTAAAGTTCCGCTGTTATTAATATTTTAAAGAAAGATGCAACTGCTAACACAAAGTCTCTCTACAACATCAGGAGTCATATAAACCAGACCACATCACCAAAAGACTTCACGGGTGTTCATCAGATATTTCAGCCCACTGCAGAATGAGTAACTGGTAAAGCTCAGAGGGAAGAGCGAAAATGGTAATCTTTAGGTTCTGGGGATGAAACTTAGGGGGGGTGGGAAACATTGAGGTTTCAAAAATATAAGCAAAGACCCGAGTCATCCTGGAACGGCCAAATGATGCACCAGTCCTCAGCGGGTCAAAAGCATGAGATGGAATCCAACATTTTCAGCCTTATTTATTCATCTGGGACTCAAATGGATTCTGCTACAGCACATTTCTAAAAGGGAGACCCTGCCTGACCTGGGATACTTATCAGAATTCATTATGTCCTCTCAGCCTTCTTTCTTGAAATCAACATTATCTCAACACAGGCTTGATTTGATTCCCTCTTCAGTCATTATCTTCATCTTTTCGGCAGAGCTAAACAGCTTCCATCACACTGCATTTTAGCTTAAACGACACAGCATTTGGGGCCCATGAATGACTCTGCAAAAATGCAAAGGACGATTTTCTTCCGTCACTGGCTGCTAAAAAAAAAAAAAAAGGAAAATAAAATGAAAGATTTATGAAAAGAGCTTGTGCCTCCACCATTCTCCCGACTGCTTTAGTAGTAGAACATCTTTCTAAATCCCACACTGGGAAGCCCCACGTTTGAGGTTTTGGAGAAAACTGACTTTGTAGGCTCTTTCAGATGACAAAAGGACGTGAACGAGAAACTAAGAGGAAATTAGCTTTAAAGATGACGGAGGAAGACAGGCGGAGCTTTACCAGCCTTTGTGGACCTGAGGGGAGAGTGCTGGAAGTGACAAATTGAAACCATGACGAGCACAGAAAGCGAGAAAGCCGCTTTTTCCAGGTAATCGCGGAATCACAAACACACTCCAAGGTCAGCAGGATTCGGTTCTGCAAACAACACTGCCTGGTGCGGCTACGTGCGTATGAGGAACTGCAAAAAAAGCAGGAGGAGGAGACCATCGGCGTGCCTGGTTCCCAGCCCCGCGGGTCATCAATAATACACAGAGCCAAGCGGAGCGGACCAGAAGCCCACGTTAAGGGCCGACGCACCGACACCACGCGCCATCCCAACCGCACAACTGGACATCTAGCAGCCTTTACCTGATCTGTGTGTGTGTGTGTGTGTGTGCTGTCAGTAAGAGATGCAGCAACATGAGAGCAAATCTGCAGAATGAGACTTTTTACATTTTTTTGTGTGGGAGTTGGCACACAGATTCAAATGTTGCTATAAAAAAAAGACAACTTTTTTTCAAAAACTACGCACTTCCAACAAGAATGTGCGACCAGTCAGCTGATAATGAATACAATCTCTCTTCTTGAGATCAAATAAACACCCCAGTAGTAGTCGTGATGGCAGGAAGCCTTCCGCTTTGAGGCCTTCTCGCAGTTAATGAAAGGATTCTGCAGGCTCGGCCTCATGGGGGTGGGGGGGGGCACACAACCTGTTATAGAGTGAGAGGAAACTCTCCCTGGCTGTGCTGCGGCAGAGTTTTCATTTTTAGACAAGGACAGAGTCAAGGACACTTCAGAAAATAAGGCAAATATACTTGTGTGTTTCTATGTGCAGTGTTCACAAGTCAAGAAGAGCAAGCCCATGAACCCCAGCCATGATGGGGAATGAAAATCTTCACGGGGGGGGGGGGGGGGGGGGGACTGAGAGCAGACAGGAGGAGAGATGGGAGGAAATAGAGCATGAAAGCTGTGACAGCGACAAGACAGGAGGAGTCCTCAATGAAAAACGCCTAAAACAGAAGGGGTGCGTCGTGTTTGGTTCTTGTGCCTTTCCGGCCCATTTCTCTGCACAAACAAAGATGGAGAGTGATGAAGGAAGGGGCAGGGACTAAAGGACACAGTCTTCCCTCTGTCCAGCCGGCTCCTGGCATGACTAAACCCTAAATTGACCTGGAAGCCCTGCTGCTTCTCATGTCAGCTTACACATACACACAAGCATGTTTGGGTCCGCGTGTACACACTGAGGCACGAAGGAAAACAGAGTCGGGGTGGGGCTGCTGGTCTGGACCGCAACAGGGGAAAAGAAGGAGATCCGAACACTGGCATCAGCCCTCTCTCTCCCTTCAATGCGTTCGTGGTGGGTAGTTGTCGGACAAAAAGAGTTTGGGGGGTGCTTGTGTGTGTGGCAGGAATACTGAAGAGCAGCTTGAGCCTTAAAAAGAGGGTTTCAGTGGGGGTTATGAGGCGATGAAAACTCACGGAGTGCGAGTTGACAACAAAAAAAAAGGAAAAAAGGACTGCACAATGTCATGCTTGTCCTGTTCCCGTAATGCGTTCGGTTCATCAATACCAGCGCTCCGTTTCCCGTGCCCTGCCCAGAAGGGCATCAATCACTTTCGAGAAAAGCCAAGCAGCCAGAGAATGACTCACAAGTGCACACAAACGCATGTATACAGACTTCCCGTGGGATCATTCTGAGTGTTTGCTCCCATTTTCTGGCAAAAATGAAAAAAAACAACAACACAACAACAAGAAAAAAAAAGCCAGCCGTGCCTTCCTGCCGCACTCCTACTCCACGTATGTGTCACCTAAGCATTGACTTCAAACTGCACACTCAAGGTCTCTGCAGGGAGGGAGGGAGGGAGGGGGGGGGGGTGGCATCCACAGTGGGCTTTTTGAGGTGAGTGACCTTCCTCTCCCCGTTTGCGGCGATAAACAGGACGCCGAACGCACTGCGAACGTTCGGGGACGTTCACTCAACGGCGAGCAGAGAAGTTGCAGCTGCGGGGAAACGGACCCGCGTCAGACGGAGAGACACACTGCAACTGCATGCATCTGTCAAAGCGGCGCGTCGAAATGCATCACCACACCCCGCGCAAGTTTAGGCTGTGCAGGCTGCACACATGGGCACTGTGTGACCTGTAGGTGCCACACACACACACACACACACACACACGCACACACACACACACACACACACACACACACACACACACACGCAAACACACACACAACAAATGCTCATCCCATTCCAGTAGCCACGGAGAGGGAGAGAGAAAAATAAAGCCACAGCAAGCACACTGGGAAGGACCCCCGCAGCCACTCCTGTCCTGCAGCCGGCTGCTGTCAGCCGGTCTCTGTAACGCGCTGCACAGCAACAGACCCTGGTCTGAGCCAGGAGCTCCTCGCCGCGAGGGGACCCGCTCAGGCGTTGCACGTTTGTCACTCACCACTCCATTTCCAGCGCATGCAATCTGGTCCAGATCCAGAACAGCTGACATGTTTTGCCCACGCGGCCGAGGAGTGTGTTATGCTATGGGGAAAGTGTGTGCAGGGCAGCTTTGAAGATCTCCAAAAGGAGGAGGAGGAGGAGGAGGAGGAAGAGGGAGGGAGCTTTGCTTGGAAGGGAGGGATGTAGGGTGAGGCAGCTAGAACGGCGGCAAGAGAGGAGGAGAGCGGCGAGCGGAGGAGAAGGCTGAGCAGAGGCAGCTAGGAGGAGACGGGCGAATAACTTGAATGAAAGAATTAGGGGGTGTGAAGGAGGGGGGGGTAGGATGCAGAAAGAGCAAGAGAGAGACAGAGAGAGACGGAGACAAGAGGTGGGAAAGAGAGCAGGAACAGAGACGGAGGAGGAGGAGAGTGAGACTGCAGTCAGTGCTTGGTAGTCACAGCGCGTCCATGCATTCAGCCACCGGTGCATCTAATTGGATTGCCGAGGGTCAGGTGGGTAGAGGGAGAGGGTGGGGCTTGGAGGAGAAGGGAGGGAGCGAGGGGGAGGCTGTGAGAAACCGGGGTGATGGGGTGCAAAGGATGCAGAGGCAGTCCAGGGAAGGAAAAAAAAAAGGAAAAAAAGGCAGGCTGCTGACGTCACGCGGTGTTATTGATGAGGAGCGGCGAGGAGGCCGACTTTGACAGCTTACCCTGGGCCGACTCTGCATCAGCAAAATGGCTGCTCGCCGCCCAGATTTAAGCGGCACCGCCCGCACATTCACCTTCCTGAGCGAGAGGAATGCCAGAATGACCTTATCTTTCAAACGGGACAAAACGCCATTGGTGATGGGATGCCATCAGCCAGGGCCACCGAGCAATGCAGCATATGTTTACGTCATTACCGAGAATACTACATCCTGAAAAGAAAAAAAATCAATGCAAAGTATTCATTCCAGTATTGACCTTTTAACAGAAGACCCGTCTCATGTTATGGGCGAAAAGAAAGCAACGAGCTGCTGAGTTCTTTTTCCACAACCACAACCGTACATTATACCCATCCTACGGCCTCGAAACTTTCTGCTGAGTCATTTGATCCCCATAGCTCATTGATCTCTCCTTTTTCACTCCCCTGCGAGCGGGGCAGAGTGTCACGAGTTTGTCTGAGACAGGCTGCCCCGTGCAGCCAATGGCAGGCCGCAGAGTGGTGGGATTACAACCACAGGCCGGGCGGGGGAGGGAGCTTCTTTGGCCGGTCACTGCGTCAGCACGTTTGGTTGTAAACTCCCGTTTCTCCACAATTTCCTGCTCCCGGCCCACAGAGGGTGCCAGTGACACACATGCAGAACGCATAAACACCTCCAGTCCACACCGGCCAAACAGAGCAACACAGAAAGAGCGATATGCATTTAGCTAGACTTATTATGAGAATGTTGGTGTGAATTCCACCTCATCCAGCTCGTGGCAATCCTGAGAACTCCATTAGAGGCAGCTGGACCCGTTTCTTGGTACTTGTAGATGTTTCTCCTCTCATCTGAAAGGCTTCTTTAGCTCTAAACTACAATGTGGGGAGCATCAGCTTCTAGGCAGAGAGGGTTGTTACAGTCTGAACCCCCGGCCAAAGCACGGAGTCATCATGACTCGTTCAGCCTACACAGTGGAGGCATTTCGGATGAGAGGTGAAACGCCTTTAAGATCCGAGAAATAAAAGTCCGGCAGCCTTTGATCCAGCTCTTAGGATTATTATAAAAAGTAGGAATCCTAGCATCCTAGGAATAGGATGCTGCAGCAAATGAATGTATCTGAATGCATTCTGGCCAGCTGGGAGGGAGCGTAACAGGCAGAGTGATCTTGAATTATTTATGCTTATCTCATGAAGGGAGTCAAAATAGATGTACCTTTGCCTAGACAGAACCGGTGTGTGTTTGGCTCTCTGCAGTGTTTGGAGGCATGTAGTGTCCTCTGGTCTCCATAAACCATGAGCACATCCATAACGCAGAGCCTATTTAAAAGTCTTTCCTCATTTTGCCTCAAACTTGAACACTACTTGAGATGACACGGTTCATATTATCCTCCTTTTTAAAGTATTGATGATGCCCTACACGGGCTAAAGGACACAAACGGGGGAAAAGCTGAGTAGCTCAAAGTCACAAGATAGGAGCAGAACGCTGTGGCTGCAAAGGGAATGGTGACGGCGCCCTCTGCTGTTCTTATTGAGACAGTAAACCTTTCGGGAAGCAGGGCAACATTAAACCGGCAGATAAAAGTGTGCAGTCCACCATTTTCATGTTCGCCAAGTTTGTGTGGTGTGCTCGTAATCTCAAACCGGCTCCTGAACCCCCCCTGTCAGGTGGCCTGGGCCTTTGTCCACCCCTCCAGCAGCTGCACCCAACCGCTGCAGTACCTGGGGGCCGCCATGTGGAGGCAGCTTTGTGGGCAGATGTGCAGCAGCTGGAATGGCACAGCTGACTGATGGCGCAGTGTGGAAGACCCCTCCCCTGCCGGTGCAGACGCACCAAGAGCCCGTCTCTTTGTGCTGCTTTTGCCCTGGTTTGACTGCGAGGCGTGGAACGCACACTGAAATTAAACATCTTCACTCTGAACGCAGACAGGTCTCAAATGGGAGATCCTATGTCCCTGCGAGACCAATTCTGGACCAGCAGAAATGTTCCTATTGATATTCTAGAAATCTTTAGTCAACTAAAGCTTTCTGCTCGGGTAGCTGGTTCCCAGGATAACGCAGCATTTCTGGACATTCATTCAAACCGTCCCCTTGTTGCCGTGGCACTGGAAAAAGAAACCTCCAACTGAATGTTACGGTCTGGGTTTAAAATGGCTGCCAAGAAAATAAGGTCAAATACACTCAAGTCTGCCTTAATACCGCGGGGACTAATTCTGGTAAAATTATGTCTGCAGCTTACAGCGGCGTGCGCCGGACTGCGTGGCGAGCGGAGGAGGGCAGAGGCACGGCGCTCGGCTTCTGAGGGGGACCGGGGAAGGGAATGGACGTCAGGCAGCGTGCACGTAGCAGCATCTGCCCCCGTGCGCCTCTGTTCCCACTGCCTGCAGCAGCTATTTTTAGCTCTGGTAGGTGGCTTGAGGAAGGTGTGGCTGCAGCATAAGAGAGAGAGAGGTTTTTTTTTTATTGTCATGAGGACGTCATGAGGATGCGGGGTGCCGCTTTCAGAGACAGAAGCGACTGCACCGGCTCCTTGAATGGTGATGCGCTTCTAACCCCATCAAATAAATATGCCTTTGCTTGGTCTGAGTGAAAACAATCTTTTCCCTTGCAACAGATTGTGGGTGAGGGTGTTTGGCAGGCTCGTGGTGAGGATTAGAAGATCTGCGTTCTCCCAAACAGCCAAGGGCAGACGCACAGAAAGGCTTTTTAGGATTTGAAAGAGAATATCATAAAGATCATAATGTGTCATCTCTTTGGCTCCCCATATTCAGAAGCTTCCTGATAAAAATCTGGCTTCTTGCCCCTTAAGATGCAGCTAATGTAAATGTCAGCAGACTACAAATGTATACCGACCAAACACATAGTAAACTCACACTGAGCCTTACTTTTACTGTTTGCACTTGTCCAGGCAACAGTGCTGTTTATTCTGACTCAGATGTGCCTCTGCCACCTAATTCCTCCACAAAACAGTCTTCAGATCTTTGAGGTGACTTTCTTCCACTTTCCACCGTCCACAGAGCCACATTTGTTTGGGTTCATAAGCAACAGAAGCTTGATCGCCGACGGGGTTAGGCCCCGAGCCCCTTCCACCATCACAGCAGCACTCACCTGGCAGTCGAAATCCTGGAAGTTGCGTGCATTCTGCAAGAAAAAGAAAAGTGGGGAGTTAAAATTTGCTTTCAGTCTTCAACTGAATCCAATTTAGTCTCACTGAAGTTTGCGGAATAATGTCATTTTTAGAAGAAAACTTAATCTGATGTCATGCTGTGGAGCCTTTACAGCAGCCTCTTCACACGGTGGGAGTGGGTGTGACAAGGAATCATGACATAAATGTAGCTGTTAGAACTCTGCAGGAATCCCCCCTTTCCCTAATGAAAGCAACAGATTTTGTAAAGCTGTTCAGTCTTTTCGAAATGAAACCAAGCCTAGGAAGTTGGAAGTTCGGCATGCCAAACTAGCCACTATGTAGCCAAGTGAGGAAGAGGCTGGGCTACAAAGACGTGATTTTCAAACCAGCGTCTTCAGTGGGAGTTATAAAGACACAAAAAGCTTTACGAGACAAAAACAAGAACAGTGAACAAAAAGTTTTTGCTGCATAAAACAGAACTGATGGTGCAGCATGTTTTTTTTTAATGTGGTTTCACTTGGTATTTGGTTCCCACTGAGGTAATGGCCACAGAGTAAATGGGCAGAGAAAATCACATTGGGAGTCAATTGTAAGCAAGACTAGTGAGGAGAGGATGGGTTTAAAAACAGATCCTGATCAATAAACTGCAATGAGCAGAATTTACAGTTAAACAGCATCACAAATGTCTACACTTCTAATATTCGGACTGAAATGACTCTCAGACTGATAGGACGTGGTTATGGTAGGCTGTGAAACGCAGCATCTGTCCGAGAGGAGAACCCAAACTAAACTTAATGCGAAACACGTTTAAAGTGGATTTACAAAGTATCTCTATCCCAACAGGAATGTTGAAGGGAATAAAGAGTCTGTCATGTGATGTAAAAGATTCTCCCCAAACTTGTCACTGGGGCGTTTTCTCCTTTCAACTGCTTCATTACATTAGACACTTTCTGAACCTGATCACAGGCGTTGAATTGCACAGATTTGGCTCAAGAAAGTTCTGAAATGAGAGCCCTCAGGTTTCATTGCTGTCAGACCCTTGTCCTCCTCTCCTTCTTAATGAGCTGGCCACTAGGTGGAGTGAGAGGTCAGTGCCTGTCTTCTGATTTTTCTGACGGGTCTCTCTCTCCCTCTCCTGTCGGGCAGACTGATGAGGAGGAACCTTCTGCTGGTCGGTCAGGGAGGGGAACCCTGGACCTCTCTCCTGACCAGATGCGCCGCTGCCCTCTGTTTCTGTGGAGCGTCTGCAGAGAGGACAAACACCCCCCCGCCCATACCCACACCTCCTTTCTAATCTGTTTATCGTTGGTTGATGACTCTTGGAAGCAGAAGAGGAAAGAATGGCTTTGATCTGCCAATCGGGAGTTGTTTTTTTCCCTCCACCTTTTTTCCTCCTGCGTTTTACCATCGCGCATTCAATTTGAGCTACAGTGTGAGACGTAAAAAAAAAAGAAAGCTTCTCCTTTGATCTCGTTTTGCTCTTGCTGGACTGTTTCTTCAGACTCTATATGAAATGGTTCCATGTGAAACCCCTTTTCTATCGACCGACTCCATCGTTTCCCCCCCTCCTCTTCCTTTTTCCTCTCGATAGTTGAGCATATATGAATAATTCACTTTGATGAACGGGACTGCAGAGTGTGCATTCCGGGTGTATTAGCGTACGTATTTGCCTGAGAGCAGCACGGTGGGCCCTTATCAACTTAGAGGGCGGCCGTTCTGTTTCTGTGTGATCATACAGATGTGCTCTCGGCGCACAGATGCGTGCCCCTGGCCTTAGCGGCTTATCGCTGCCTTGTTCTCGCCTCGACTCACCTTATTGGTCAGCAGCGGCTTGATCTCAGTCAGCTGAACATCCTGCAGCTCGTCCATCTTCCTGTGTGGTCACGTCAAAACCTGTGAGCTGGGGACAAAAAGGAGAACATTCAACTCTACTTAGTCATAGTACAGCAACCTCCCGAGGAAAACTGCTCCGACACACAATTCCAGTCCAACGTGAGGACACTCTAGTGCATATATTTTGACGGAAAGGATGTGTGCCAATATAAAAACTTTATTTGGTCAGCTCAGTTTATCACCCTTTAACAAATATCTGGTGTAAAAGTCATGAATATGCTAAATAAAGACCTTCACTTTTATATGGTGGTGTACATGTGTTACTAAACAAATAACACCAAGCTCTTTTCCCTCTAATCGAATGGCATAAAGGAACAGAATAAGACGAATGTGAATGATGTGAGTAACAATTAGCCACTCCCTGCTCTCCAGTGCCAAGGTGAACTGAACGGTTGGCACGATGACAGTAAAAACAGAGATAATAGAGAGATGTCTGTATGTAAACAGCTTCTCTGTTGACGTTTACTTGGAGGGACTGCTGTCATCACCAATTGTTGACGTCTTATCTGGTTCTTAGTCTCGACTCAGCTGTGATACCTATGCATAGACCTTCAGTGCCATGTGTCTGGGGTGCTGAGGGCATTCTGTACGTTTGTGAGGAGAGGACGAACCTCCAGTCCAAACAGGTGGTGCTTAAACACACACACGCACACACACACACACAAAGAGATCAGGGCAGATTGAACAAGAAGAGCCAAAGCCCTCCTCATTTGTTTTCCCCTTGACGCCGGCCGTTTGTCCCCCCCCTTAACTACAGAACAAGACCAGCCAGGCACAAATGCCCCCCCCCCCCCCTCCCCCACCGGCGCCTGTAACAATACCTCTCCTGCCTCTCCTGTTTGCACAAGGTGAGAACAGGAAGCAGTGTTGTATTACCTGGCGGGGACCAGGGCGCGTGGCTCACATTGCAAATGGCAGCAGGTGGAGGCTCTTCTAGGCAAAGTCAGGGCGGCCTGCGCTGCCCGTCAGACGGGCTCGGAGTTAAGAGGATGGCCGTTCTGACGGAAAGCGAGGGAGAAATGCAGGCGAAGCTAATCAGCTGCCGGAAAGCCGGCAATCGCTTCCTGAGCTGGAGCCAAACCCCCCCCCACGCCGTAACCTTCAGCCGCTGGTGTAGGGTAACCTTCAGGGCTGGATCGTGATGAGCCAAACTCTAGCGGGGGGACACCAGAGATGTCCATGTCACAGCACCGGCAATTTTACCCCGGTGCCGACGGACAGAGTTCAAAGCCAACATCTGTGCGGTGACGCATGAATTGGGTCAGAGGTCTTCATAGTCTGGCAGCGGATTGCTCCTCGACGGAAAACAACCCAGGGAAGCACGTGGGGAAAAGAAATAAGCACCTCAAATTACATAAAAACAAGCCAGAAATAAAAAAAAAATAAAAAAGTGGAAAGATCCAGTGTAGTGTGCAGTCAGCAATCAGAGGTGGGGAGTGAAAACATGACCCATAAAATCCCTGCTGACAAATCCGGCTCAAGGGCGGAACTGAACAATATTTAGATAACTGCACAAAGAAAAAAAGAAAAAGAAATACTCAGCATGCCTGGGCAGATTGAGAATATTGGCCGGATCAATCCAACACTTCCTCGGGCTGCCAGCGAAATTGGGCTAGAGGCAAAAGACCTAAAGTCTAACTGTAGCCGCCCGGCCAGGTAACTGAGGAGTTAATGGAAGACAGAGGTCAGGGTGAGCTTTAACCGATCGACTGATGAAGCCCCCCCTCCCCCCCCCACTTCTCACTTTGCCCCTCGTCCTTGGGGTTACTACCAGGAAGATCAACATTCTCCTTTCTGCTAATCCCACGGCATCAGATAACCAGACCACATTTTTAAAAAAAACAGCTAAAACACCAGCACAGACCTATTTTCTCCTCCCAGCGTGTGTGCTTCTCTGCTCAGCATGCACAGCTGTTGCCATAGAGACAAAGCTGGCTGCCGGTGTTTATTCTAAGCCGGGATAGACCCACGGGACGGACGCGGAGCGAGAAAAAGCGGCGGAATAGGTCGTCTCTGCTGCTGCTGCTGCTGCTGCTGCTGACAAGCGTTTTTAGCTGCGTTTCATGAATCCCATTTGTCTGGGCCGATCGTGTGACACTCCCGCAGCACGCTGGCAAAGGGAAAGTGTTAGTAGATCGGAATAATGCAGCAAGCACAGCCCCCGAGGACAGCAGAGAACTCCGCTTTGCAAGCTGAGCAACTTGTAGGGCCTGTCCCACTTTCGTTTCTCACTGTAGACGCAGAGCAGTGAGTGGAAAAGACAGCAGGACGGGGGAGAAGCCCGTAACCACAGAGCTGGGATGCACTCCATCTTAAGGTGCATGAGACGCCGCTGCACGGGGGCTCCCACGCAGCTATCCCCCCCCCCATCTGGTCCTCTGGTGCATTTCCCTGCAGGCCGGGTGGCTGTGAGGGAAACCTCATCCCAGCTGTAAATACCGTGCCACGCGGCGAGGGACGAGGGGGCAGCGGTGGAGGGAAAACTGCCCTAGAGGAACCCTTTGAGAGGTTTTTTTTTTTTTTTTTTTTAAAGGTCAGTTTTCACTCCAGCCGATGTCAGCGGTCCCCTGGAGAGTCTGGGAAGTTAGGGTTATAGAACAACCAGAGAGGCATGCTGAAACCCGTTGTTTAGAGTATTATAAATGATAATAATACTAATAACGATGTAAGTTCACAATTGATTCAGATCCCTTTTGCTTGTAGAGCTTCAGTGTATAAAGTGTGCAGTCGTGAGCAGAGGAGGGGGAATTCTTTGCCTCACAACCAAGACACGGAAAACATCCAAATCTAGAGGATGCCAAGGAGGCGGGTGCCAAAACACCTTCTTAAGATCTGACCATGCTCTGCCAGCACAGAGGCACCGGCGTATCTGCCCTGTCAGCAGACGGCCCTGAGTGATTGATGAGCACTTCCCCATCACTCCTCCCACCACTTTTCCTCGTTCCTTCCCTCGTCTTCAGCCTCCTCTTAGCGTATTCTGCTCCCCGCCTCACCTTGGGCCGACAGGAAGCCAAAGCCGGCTGCGTGATGAACGACTCTAGAACAGATGTGAGCCTGACCCCCACGTCCCCTTCAATTAGTCTTTTCTGCCTGTCGCCATGGCGACCATGGCTTCAGATCTTACTTGACGTCTTTATCATTGCCGTAACAATACGGCCGCGAGTCAGACATGATGGCTTTAATGCCTTTTCTTTTGTGTCATGTTAGCTGCATCACCCCCGGATGACCCACACGCTGAAGCAGAAATCCCAGCAAAAAAAAAGTCTAAATATCTATAACTACTGTTTATTTCAGACAAAAATGACTCTCTCTCTAACTGGTTTTTTACAAGCAAAGGCAACGAGCTGTGAGTGGACCTGAGATGAACAGGAACACCTAACATCTCACCCCGTCGTCACTTCCTAACGGCAGCGTTTGGAAAGCGCCACGAGTCAGTGCTCAGAATTCGGCCTTCTTCTTTTGTTCCAGATCTGCTGCTAAGCTTTGGATCGTTGTCCTTTTGCATGACCCAATTACAGCCGAGCGGGGCAGATGGGCACGCATGCCCGTACGCGAGCGGGGGACTTTGACATACATCACCAGAGCTCTGCCACCCGCCCTGACAGCCAGTATGAGCTGTGGGAGCTGGAACGCTGGGTTTGAAGTTTTCCAAAGGTGGGGCTGTGCACTATGACCAACCAGTTCCCCTTTGGAGTCATCCTTCTAAAAGGGACATTGTGGTTGGTTCAACCCTGCTGCTTTACTCTTTTTAGATCAAACCTAAACCGCTCAGACTTTTTTCGAGCTGTAAATAATCTGTGTCATATCAGCGTGGTGGGTTTAAACGGCCTCATATTCCATCTCGGATGGGTAAGCAGCAATAATTCTATCCTCCGAGTTGCTGGTGTCTTTCATCCTGGCTGCTGTTTTAAAGGCACCTACATGCTGACAACACTTGTGCTTTTATGGAGGCTCTGAAGCATGAGGCGACTGCTTAATCGCAAGAATTTGATAGCCTGCAGCTGGCTGCGGTCCTCAGTTCCTCTTCACACGGTTCCTGCACACAATCGGTTATAAAGAAAACTTTACCAACTGATATGCCGTTATGTTTAACCTTTCTATGTTTGAATATACGGGGTTTGAGGGGGGAAAAGGGCTGAAATGGGGCGTACTTCCTTTGTCACGTGACTGAACGGCTATCCTCATGGGGACACTTGGTCCCGGGTCAGCAGCTAACAAAGCTTATCGTCACTAAAGGGAACGGGACAGCACCAGTTCCAGAGATGCAGACATCCCAGTGTCTGAGCCTGAGCGGGGGAGCTGTCTTGCCAGGGCTGCTAACAGGTCTTTAAAAGTCTGGGAGCCTTTTTCCAGGATCACGTCCCTAGAAATGTCTTTATCCTCCAACTTTTGGTAACCAGGCCAGCCCAGTGTTTACGGCTCTCCGTCTGCAGAGGCGGCAATCCGCGGCGGAGTAAAACTAATGGACTGGAACGTGGCTCAGTTCAAGATTATTGCTCCGACCTGGGTCGTTTGGTAAGGGAATTAGAAAAAAGGGGGAGAAAAAAAAAATCCATTTGTGCGGGATTTCAGCCCCCACCTCCTCCGCTCGACAGGTCAGCGGCGGTCATGGGGGAATTTCACTCCGTCCTATCAAAATCCAGAGGGAAGCGAAATCCAGAGGGAAGCGACAAGGTAAGTTAACCGCTGAGAAAGCCCCCACCTGAAATTGATAAGTTCTCCTGACACACTCTTACATTCTGGGCTTTTTGTTTTCTTCTTCTGAGAATAAATCCAAGAGGAGTAGACATCTCTCCACCGTCTTCCTTGGATAATAACATCCAAAGACATTATCTTACATAAGAACATCTGTCAAATATCCAAACATCTAAACATAGAACAACAACAAAAGACCAGGACGGCCGGGGTAGGGGAGGCGAGCAAGCTGATGAGATACAACAGCGTCACTAACTCAGCACCTAAAAATAAGGACCTCCAGGCCCGATCCCGGCAGGATGAGGAGGATCTGA